ACCAGATTATGAACTAAGTAGTGCCCAGACCCTTGGATGCGGATAGCGGAACCTACAGTACGATGAATGACGTTGTCTTGAATGACAAGATTGTTGACACCAAATGCACCAATGCCGATATTGTATCCATGGTGAAATGAGCTGCCGCGCACATACGATGAACCAAGGAACGGAACATCAAGAAATGATAGAGAATACCTGTATAATACAAAATGTAGCTCAAATTCACTGATCAAGTAGAAATTCAATAGATTTTTTCCTGGTCTTAAAGGCTTTACCTTGAGTCATAGAAATCCGTCCAGCCTTCCTGGCCGCAGTATCGAAACTCTGCATTCTCAATCCTTATTCTTCTCTGCTTGTTACCTTGGAAACCCTTAATGGAGCCAACCAGAACACGGCAACCAAATAGTTGCTTATCAAGAGCTCCATTGATGTCATCAGCACCTTCGATCACAATATTCCTTGTTAGGAGACCAACTTCAGCTGCCATGGTGACGTTTTGTGGACCAATTGAATCGGACCAGCTGGTGTGTTTGTATTTGAGGCTTTCGTTGATAAAGATGGTTTTGTGGTCAGGTGATACACTTACTGCATGACAAACAAGAAGAAAAATGTCTATAGAGAGGCCCTTAAATTAATCGTAAAAAAAGTTGAGTTGGTGTTTGGTTGAATACTTATCACTTTGGTTGTTGTCTAGCTTCATGAAAAGCATCGGCATGTTTGGCTACATGAACCGTRCAACTTGTACTGCTATTTTGGAGAAGGCATGATACTTACTAGTCTCTACTGACAGCCGCTATGAAGCTTCGTTTCCATGGAAGCATAGTTAATATTAACTATGATGGAAGAGACCTGAGAACGAGCCTCATAACGGCTGCGAGAGGARGCTAGGCACTTACCAATTTTCACAACTTCTGTTTCATGTGGCCTGTATGACGTGGGTGCAATTACGATCCAATCTCCTTCACTCCAGTCCACCTTATCTTCAACTTGAATTTCTTTCATTCCAACGTCCGCAGTCCTTTTAAGACGTGTCCAGTATACACTGCGATTCTTCCCATGAATCTCTAGGTTCCCAAACACGCCTTCGAGAATAGAACATGGTGTTAAAATGCTGATCTATTTCCTTTAGTTAGGCATTGTAATACGATATAGTTTTWAGTTTAGCCTATTTTATTGGACTTGCTTTTCAGTAGAGGACCCACCAACACCCAATTAAGTGTGGCTTTGAAGACAGTTATTTTGAGAGGAAACCAATTACTGCAGTACGTCATTGCTAACCTATTACTTTTGCGCCCATATTAGGAGCGCCCTGTATCATCATATCCGGTGTGCTCCAGTCCCCTTGGAGCGTGACAGTAACTTGGCCAGCCATTGGCTGATCTGGCCATCCCATAATAAGGTTTCCTCCTGGTGCGATGTAAATGTAGGTAGCATTCAAAATGAAGTCCATGCTTGGTTCAAGTTCTAGTGTTCCGTAAATGATGAGTTTGTTGATAGAAGGAAATGCAGTATCAGCAACCATCCACCATTCTGGAAGACGAGAAAACAATAATATGATGGATTTAGTGCGAAAAAAGTAAAAAAAAAATGGTCGATTTGTGGCCAGTTTATATTGAGATTGGATTTGATATGATGCCTGATGTTATTGGTGACTTTACCTGGTCGTATCATGATGTCATCRCCATCTTTAGGCAGGTTCTTGTTATGTCCACCATACCCTGGSTCAGTGCCATACCAGCTCTCGGGGTCTGACCATGTAAGGTACTGCAGTGGTCTTTTCTCAGGGGGTGGGGGAGGAACAGGTTTGATGCAGTCTTTAWAATAACAACGTACGACCTGAGGGATATATAGTTCAATTCTTTAATGGAGGATTTGTACCATCAACAAGAGTGATGATGATGATTTATAATGTCTAATAAGACGTGATAATTATTAATAATTATTAATACGATAATGATGAAACACCTGAAGATTAATATTCTGCACGTTAGTTCCAGTCTCTCCAGTTACTATGTACGTCATCTCTCTAGTACGGTTATTGTAGAACCAGTCTCCAGTTGAAGCATGGTCAAGTTGGGGAATACTGCTGGACATGTTGACTGCTTGTTTGGCGGTCTTGATTATATCTGGTGCATGTTTCATTGGATGAGTTATCAACACGTGATCTTGTGCACCAAACTCATAAAAACCGGCACTACAARGATAAACAAATAAAATTAAAAAGGTTATTGTATTGGAAATGTGAATACATCGTCATGTGAATCCTATAGGCTTAGTGTACCAACATATGCCAAATGTGCTAGACAAATAATACGATCCATCAATAATGATCCAGTTCGTACCTGTACGATATGTTACTAAGATGTTGTGCATTTTCAAATGTCAGATTRTAACGTTCCCCAACTATCAATGTTGTCATCCAACCATTTTTGTGTGTTATACGCTTTGATGCCCATGGCACGTGGTTGGTACCATACTGGTTACTTAGCAACGCGTCCTTGTACAAGAGTGACGTTGGTCTAGGTTTGTTCCATGAAAGACGACGGAATTGTGGAATAGAATTGCAGATGCTTCCTGGAGCACGTCCAATGCTGACCGATTTAGACTGGGTACAATGATGTGGAGGGAGGTTTTYATTGGTTGGTACGATACTACCGCCWAYGTGACCTTAAGAWTAAGTRMAATTWRTATTGGTGAATATGAYAATAATTCACATARAATATAGATCACTGGTTARTTKTCCATRTTGCCAKGGTAACTCACCTGTCARTGAGCCATCAAGGTCTTTGTAGATKGTCTCATGTTGCCATAGAAATCCTGCCATATTAGGAGAATGAATCATGRTTGTTCTGTTGATGTGTACAGTCCAACCTCCTTGGAATGGACGACAAAACGARCAGCCTCTTAACGCAGCACACTTCACATCATTGAAGTTAACAAATGTCATCCCTAATAATGTCAGATATGATGATTGAGGTCCGACGACTCCACCCATTGTGCAATATGAGGGGTTATTATTGCTTATCGCACTGTATCCAACCACTAGRGAGTCTCTKATAGTTGTACCCTTAGACCAGCTGCCTAGGACGATAGTAACTTCAAATCCAGCCTCCTTGTTGTCCATCATTGTACAGTTAACACACTCCACGTTACCAACTTCTGTTATCTCAAAACCTTTAAGATTATTGTATGCCAGGAAGTCTTGGAATTGAGCTGGTAAATCACTGTCCCTKGGGGTATAGGTGGGGAATATCCATAGTCCATATCGACCAAAGGAATGTGCCGTGTTATTGCGGAATTCCTTCAGCGGGGTTCGTCTTGGCCAGACTGTGGGGGAGTAGGATGGGCCACCAGGGTGTACTGGCATGTTGTACCAGAATCCAAAATGGCTRCCACCAGCAGCAGTATTATGTCGTACTGCAAGATAATGATGAATAATGACATGTATGTCTGTTCCATCCCCTYCCCCCATGGGRAGRATTTTTCCTCKCCGTGGGAGGGGTGGGGATCTTATGTATACCAATCTGTATATTTAACAAACCTGTATTGTTTGGGTTAGTRATCCAAAATGTCCCAGGCGTCACATCCACATTCAAAAGACTACTAGATGACGTCACATGGACACCAAGATTATACTGAATTGTATTGCCAGTTTCTATGCCGTCTTCAATAAAGTACGCATGCCCCATGATATGATAAGCAACATTATGTTCTACAAGCAACCCTTGTACACCATGGATTGTGACGGCGCGGTTAAACGTGTGATGTATTGCRCARCCTCTGACGTAAGAACCTGTGACGTCACCACTCATGTGGAAGTGAATGGGATATCGACCTGTAAGAGAGCATATAACATCGTAGAGATTAAAGTGATTGGTATATTCCATATATTTGTATGCCTATGAACACTGCGCACTAGAGTGACTTACCAAGCTTAAATGCCTGTCCAGCATGCCGTACCTCTACGTATGATATCCGCCCAGTAATCAAACCTTTRTTCATTTCTTTAGCATTCAACATAATTTGTGAACCAAACTGATCGCTGTTTCTCTCATCTCCATAGCGACCAACAAAACAAGTTTGGGTGGCRAACTGATCAGGATCAAAGTCTRCGGGGCATTCCTGGAAATTCTCTGATGTCCAGTCTTTCTGTGTTGAGCCTTCAACGACAACGTTGCGAGTGAGTAGTCCAACTTCAGCYCTTGTCTSTAAAGTCTTGCCTGCAATCGTTTGTACAATCGCAATGTGCTTGTACTTCAGTACTGGTTTGATGCCAATTGTATGGCCATCACTAGAGACACTAGTKATTGTSAGTTGTTCATTCTCCTCTGGACTTCTACTTGTTGATGYTAGAATGACATCATCGCCAACTTTCCAGGTGACTGATTTGGTAAGGGTGATCTGGTCTGAGCCTGACGAATAAAGACAGGCATTACATTGCATGTAATATTGTCATTCAGTCGGTGATTGCTGGTAAACCTACCTATTTGTGCAGTTTTATCTAGATGTGTCCACGTRATTGGCACGTGTAGACCGTGAAGGTCCAAGGTCCCTTCTCGGACAGCCAACACCTTAGCACCAAATAACGGCAATTCAACGGACTGGGGATTTCCATGAAGAACAATTCTTGCTTTGTGCTGGAAAGGTTGTTTTTCAGTACCAACCTCCAATGCCCCTCCATCAACAACCAGTATTTTCTCTGCATTTAAATCTAAGTCTTTCTCATCAAACTTTAGTTTTCCTTTRATCACCAAAGCAGCAAACACTGGGGTACTAACATCCAATAGCATAGTCTGCCCTCTAGGGATTACCACTAAACTCCCTTTACATGGTGGATCATTACCTCCCCATGACAAYCGTGATGACCAAACATCAATGTATTCAAAGTCTGCGTGCTCTTGKGTCGCAATTCCATTGTTCCCAACCTCCACGCGGACTTTGGTGACGATAGATCCARGTCKCCGACCTGTYATACATTTGACTTGCGTAGTCGAGAATGACGTCACTGTRCATGTGATTCCAGCTATGGTAACTTTGTTTTCATTAGCAACAGAGCTGAATCCTATAAARACAGAAMAYTTTYAGCATKCTTTGGATAATTAATGACWACTGCAAGTCAACTCACCATTTCCTGTGATTGTGACCARTGTCCCCCCTCCAGTACCCCCACGGGGAGGATCGACATGGTGTATTGTTGACGTCATGGCTCTAYGATATGTAAAGTACCCYCTTTTTGTTGCTTTAAGGTTGTTAKGTCCATGAACACTTAGTGAACACGTGACATCACTTGTCACATTTGATTGGATGGCTGGAACCTCGCATTGAATAGTGGATAGTGTGACATTCACTACGTGACATGCAGTGTTACACACTTCTACGGTAGTGGCGTTACTAAAGCCCATACCGTCAATAGAAAGAATTCTTCCGCCGCCATACCCACAATCCTTTGGRRWYGCAGTGCTAATCTTGACGTCATATGTGAATTTGATTGTTCYACCAGTTWGTGCTCCRGCAAATCCTCGTCCCTTGACRTGCACYATGACATCATAGATTCCCGCAGGATTCCCRCCAAGAATACATTTGATTATATTGGTTGTCAGAGACTGGATAAGACATGTTGYGTTTCCAATAGTTACAGTTACCTTGGCGATATTGTAATCCAAATCTCTTCCTGTGATTGTYAGGGTTTGACCTGCTGTTCCTCTAGTGGGTGATACTGATGATATCCAGGGTGTTAGAAAGCTACGATATGCAAAACGAAGGCCAGGGAAAACTTGCMCACCAGAAAYAATTTGAACCTAGGAAAAGACACGGAACATTATGGTGTGCGCTTTACGACTAGGACTACGTTTGAATTATACAATTAACAAAATGCTTCAATTTCTTTGGATGATTTACTGTAAATTCTACAGTTTATCGATAGATTGCCATTTTCCTATTTCTCCTAGATGTTTTGTTATAACTGATATGTCTCACCTGGTGTGATCCTGTGGYGTGTCTTGATGTTATACATGTCATCTTAGAGTYAGTTACTCGTTGTATAGCACACTTRTAAAGTCCAATGTGAATAGTTGTGTGACCAGGTCGTGTATCAAATCCACTACCACTTATTGTTACCAWGGTACCGCCATAAACACTTCCCTCRCTGGGTACGATATCAGACACTAATGCTAGACTAACCACGCTCTTTGAGGCATCAACWCCAAACAGTGCCTTACCGGTGGGGTCGACAATTACTGTGATTCGATGSGTACCAGCAGGAAGTGGTCCGATTTTGCACTGCAATGCATACTGGGTTAARGAAATGATGTCACATGTCCAGTTTCCAATGGCAACAGTGACGTCAKTGGTTCTGTGCGGAAATCTTGCACCGTACATCGAGATGACATTRTGCGAGCCAATCAGATTTGTTGGTGTGACGTAATCRATCCTTGGTGTCATTGCTTCAGAATATGTAAATAWACAATTGGCGCAAAATGAGCTGGTCATGTTATTGACTRTAACTGTCACGTTAGACACWRTAGRTGTATTGTGTGACTGTGTGTGACATTGTATTCGTGACACTGTGGATGACGTCACTGTGCATCTGTTTGGTCCAATGCTGACTRTGTTTGCTTCGGATGTCGTGGAGAAGCCATCACCAAATATGGTAAGCAGTGTTYGTCCTGCTAGTGAACCAGCCTTAGGGGACAAAGACGTTACTGTGGGGAGTAGGGTAAAGGTCTTGRTAATGTCGTCATCAGATTGAAYCCATGCATAGCCTTTGTTATTKATTCTTACTGTGACATCGTAAGGAATGCCTGCTATAAGACCCTGTGCAACTCGACACTTGATAAGGTCATCTGTACTTGATATAACAATACACTGCTTTGAGCCAATCAAAACTTCACTATAACACGCTTTAGGTCCCAGTCCTTTACCGCTTATCGTCAACACAGTCGAGCTCGAACCAACGTTTGGATGTATTGACGTCACTTTAGGTGTGCTGCAWTYCCAGAATACATAGCTGGCATTGTGTGSAWTTTGTGATGTACATTGTGACGTTATACCATCATGGCAGTTAGCAGTACTAGGGAGGGGATACAAAGGTTGTTTTGAGACATAGATAGCTTTGAATTGGCCAATCTCTACAGAAACCTGAACTGCCTTAGTTTTGGGTTGTCTAACAATGATTTCACCCTTCATKGTTATAACGCCATAGGGGTCTATTGSSCCGCTAGAGTAGTAAAAATGACCAGGAACATTAAATCGACGACTAAAGCCACCATTTCTGGAGCGCGCACTACGGAAACCATGACCATTGTACGCTGTACTTGTTGAATCRTTGKTTTGATGGACGCTGTACAAAAGGTTTGTSATCTCAGGGCTTGACCATCTCCACTATAGGCGAATCAAATATTCCACTTTAATAGGTTTGCTAAGCATTCAATAACATCAAAAACATCACCAAATAGTATTTACATTATAATTAAACCACATACCTTAACTGTGTCTCCAGCGTAAATGATAAGTGTAAAGGGATTCCAGGCATAACCAAACCCATACTCTGTGACATATGTTAGACATAGCGTTATTGATAATATATAGGGCAAATCACAATGATGCAAGTAATAAACTGTAATATACTGTGCAATAAAATGACCAACAAGGTCTGCGCAAGCTCTTTAGGAGACATTTAGACAAACATTCTTTCAGCACAAAAAGGACGTGTATTAACATCATTATACCTGATAAAACACTCTCTCTCGTGTTTTAAACTATACGTTAAAATGTTGCCTGTCTTATGTCTTTTGAGCCTCATGCATGGGGAATGATATCAAAACTACTCTTCCATTGCCTACATATATTTGGGTTGTTTAGCCTTATGCGTACTTATACGTTTTCAGAGCAATTTCGTACTGTTTTCATTTTATTAAGGACATAGAACCTGCAACAAAATGCTACAAAAACGCATCMGTGCGAACCAAAACGTTTTACAAAGAATAATACCTGGATGACTACCAGAGTTATCCACTGTATACACTGACGAAGATGCTCTAGT